TATCCAAAACGGTTGGGATCTTCTCCAAGATACGATACTACGTGCCGCAAAATGCCCTTCTCACACTATACCACTCACTTATTTATCCATACCTCATTTATGCTATTTGTGCTTGGGGATCAACTGCAGAGCAACACACCTAAAGCCAATAATAACCCAACAAAAAGCTGCAGTAAGAATAATCACTAAATCCCATCCCTGGCAACACCCCCCCCCCCACACTCTTCATAATCAAACTTACTCCCTGTTCAGTACATCCACACTTACTACTGTGCAATCTACATCTACAGGACCTTAAACTCCAATATCAACCTTGACCTAAAACGCTTTCTTGATAGTTGTGACAGAACCCACAGGCATAACACCAGACACAAACATCTCTACGACATTCCCCGTGTCCGACTAAACCTTTACAAAAATTCAATGTATGTCAAAGGCCCTAAAATCTGGAATACCCTACCTGAGAACTCTAGAACTGCAGACACATTCATCACCTTCAAAACTACCATCAGAAAACATCTTATCTCCCTGATACACCCCGTCAACTAACTACACAAATACCACCTGGTGGTTAACACACACTCACTCACCCATTTGACCATAAACAGAAATATCAATGTCAATCTTACAATGAATCCTGTGATACTCCAATACTGAAACTATGTACTGTGCCAAAACAAAAGCATTCACATTGCTAAACTCACAAACTAGTATTTAGTCACTTAGCCATAATACCAACTTACCTCATAATTTGTAATATTTTAAAATAAAGAATAAAACTAAGTCTGCCCGAAATGCCTAGCCATGCTAGGTGTTCTAGTGGTACACTCTGTAATCACTATTTTACTACATGTAAACCACACAATAACCAAATTCTGTAAACTCAGCATTGTAATCCTTATAGAGAATAAACTTTGAATTTGAATTGAATTGAATTGATTAAACTATTATTTTCAACAGTGCAGTTCAAACTCAATAAAATTAGCAGTTATTTCTGTTGAATTAAGAGATAGGCAACGCCACCTAATTATTATTATTATAATCAAGGGGGAAGCGCTAAACCCGGAGGATTATACAGCGCCTGGGGGGGGGGGATGTGGAAGGCATTCAGGCTTAATTCGGGGAACTGGAGCACAGATCCAATTCCCTAAATCAAGAGCCCCTCACCAACATCAAGGAACCTTCCTTGAGGGGAATGCCACCTAAGAACCTAAAGTCAGTTCCTGATCAGCCGGGCTGTGGCTCGTACGTTGGTTTGCGTGCAGCCAGCAGCAACAGCCTGGTTGATCAGGCGCTGATCCACCAGGAGGCCTGGTCACAGACCGGGCCGCGGGGGCGTTGACCCCCGAAACTCTCTCCAGGTAAGATATGAAAAAAAAAATGCAGGTAGGAGGAGGTAGGGAGTAGAAGACAAGGACTTAATTATTATAATCGTGGGAAAGCGCTAAACCCGGGGATGGAAGATATTCAGGCTCAGTTCAACGAACTGGAGCACAGATCCAATTCCCTAGATCAAGAGCCCCTCACCAGCGTCAAGGAACCTCCCATGAGGGAACAAGGACTTAAGCCTCATTCATCAATATTTTCACACAAAGACGTTTTAGCATATTAAAACTTGTATTATTTTGCTAAAATATAGTTACTACTCGACATACAGTATTATATACGTCTACACTGCCGCATATATACTCAACATACATATTTTGTTAATTTATTAAAATGTAATCCGTGGGTTTTAATGTTACTCGAAGCATTAAGCAAAAAACTTTACCGGGTATCTTGACAATTGTCACAATATGAAAAAAAGTTGCTGCACCAGTGCCCCCATTCCCGTCACTCCCTCTCCACCACCTCTGCACCGAGACCCGTCAGGCATAGCTCAGCCACACACAAAATACTCCCTCCACTCATACTTCGCCCTTGAAGGTAGGGGAGGATGTCTTGATGCTGATGATGGGTTCTGGATACGAGGAACTGGAACACCTGCTGTCCCTGTTCCCCTGGCAGCAAATAGGTAATACTTGGGTGTTAGCCGACTGGTGTGGGTTGCATCCTGGAGTTACCTGGAGAGGGTTTCGGGGGTCAACACCTCTGCAGCCTGGTCTGAGACCAGGCCTAGTGGTGGAATCATGGACTGATCAACCAGGCTGTTACTGCTGGCCACACATAAACCGATGTATGAACCACAGCCCGGCTGATCAGGTACTGACTAGGTCTGTCCAGTGCCTTCTTGAAGACAGCCAGGGGTCTATTGGTAATCCTCCTGACCAACCGGGCTGTGGTTCGTATGTCAGCTCGTGTGCGGCCAGCAGTAACAGCCTGGTTGATCAGACCCTGATCCACCATGAGGCATGGTCTCAGACCAGGCCACAGGGGCATTGACCCCTGAAACCCTCTCCAGGTTATGTATGCTGGGAGGAAGTTGAGCACTCTTGGGCCCCTGACACTTATTGTGTTTTCTCTCTAGTGTACTCGTGGCAGAGTCCAAGACAACGGAGAGACGTCTAAACCATTCCCAGTCTCAAATGGAGTGAAACAAGGCTGCGTGCTTGCTCCCACCCTGTTCAGCCCGATGTTCTCGGCCATGCTTACAGACGCATTCAGGGACACAGACGCAGGAATCGGCATCAGGTACCGTACAGATGGGTCTGTCTTCAACCTCAGGAGGCCTCAAGCAAAAACCAAGGCTGCAACTGACACCATCAATGACCTGTTATTTGCTGATGACTGCGCCCTCAACGCTGCTTCAGAAGCCGCCATGCAGCACAGTGTTGACAAGTTCTCTGACGCCTGCAACAACTTCGGGCTGACAATCAGTACAACGAAGACTGAAGTGATGCACCAGCCTGCTCCGGGAAAGACGTATGTTGAGCCAAACATCACCAACGGGCAGCGACTGAACGCCGTAGACAAATTCACCTACCTCGGCAGTACCCTTTCCAGAAACGTTGTCATTGATGATGAGGTGAATGCCAGACTTGCCAAAGCCAGTGCCACCTTCGGCAGGCTCCACAAGAATGTATGGAACCGAAGAGGCATCACCACAAACACCAAGATCAAGGTGTACAGAGCCATAGTCCTCACCACACTTCTCTATATGTGCGAAACCTGGACTGTCTATAAACGTCACGCCAGAAAGTTGAACCACTTTCACACCACACGGCTCAGAAAAATTCTCGGCATCAAATGGCAAGATAAGATCCCAGACACAGAAGTGCTGACTTCAGCTGGCCTGCCTAGCATCTACACCATCCTAATGCAGACACAGCTTCGCTGGGCAGGTCACGTTGCTCGCATGCCAGACCACCGGCTGCCAAAGAAACTCTTGTTTGGCGAACTGCAGCATGGAAAGTGCTCTCAACGCGGCCAAAAGAAGCGCTACAAGGACACCCTTAAGACTGCTCTGAAAGCTTTCAACATCAACCACACCATGTGGGAGCTGATAGCTCAGGACAGGAATGACTGGCGAGCAGTTGTCCAGAAAGGGGCAACATCCTGCGAGGCGAGCAGAATCTCACTAGCTGAGCAGCGCAGGCAGGCGAGGAAGACCAGAGCCACCAGACCCCTCGATGCTGCCACCCTTCCCTGTCCACACTGCCAGAGAACGTTTCGTGCGCGGATTGGCCTGATAAGTCATCCGCGTACCCACCAACTTCGACCCCAGGATTACTAGATGGTCCTCGTTGAATCGACGGACAAACAAAACTCGTGGCACCCGATTTTCATTGGGGAAATGTATCTCCTTCCGAGTCCTTTGCTTTCATAGGAAGTGATTTTTTGTGTGTAGGTTTGGTACCAATTCCTCTAGGATTTTCCAAGTGTGTTATTGTGCATCTTTCTCACCTGCATTCCAGGGAATACAAATCAAGAGACTTCAGCTGTTCTCAGTAATTTAGGTGCTTTATCATACTCGTGTGCCATTATAATCAAAAAGTGCTAAACCGACAAGGGATGTGTTGTGAAAGTTCTCTGTACATTCTCCAGGTTAGCAATTTCACCTGCCTTGAAGGAGACATTTAGTGTAGTATTCCAGCCTAGAGAGAACAAGTGATTTGAAGAGAATCATGAGTTTGGCATCCCTAGTTTTGAAGGTTCTCATTATCCATCCTATCATTTTTCTATCAGATGAGGTAGATACATTGTTGTGGAGACGAGATCCTCACCCAGGTGAAGCATATTTGTGGTAAAAGCTACTATCTTTCTTTCAACACACCGGCCGTATCCCACCAAGGCAGGGTGGCCCAAAAAGAAAAACGAAAGTTTCTCTTAAATTTAGTAATTTATACGGGAGAAGGGGTTACTAGCCCCTTGCTCCCGGCATTTTAATTGCCTCTTACAACACGCATGGCTTACGGAGGAAGAATTCTGTTCCACTTCCCCATGGAGATAAGAGGCAATAAACAAGAACAAAAATTAGAAAGAAAATAGAATACCCAGAGGGGTGTGTATATATATGCTTGTACATGTGTAGTGTGACCTAAGTGTAAGTAGAAGTAGCAAGACGTACCTGAAATCTTGCATGTTTATGAGACAGAAAAAAGGACACCAGCAATCTTACCATCATGTAAAACAATTACAGGTTTTCGTTTTACACTCACTTGGCAGGACGGTAGTACCTCCCTGGGTGGTTGCTGTCTACCAACCTACTACCTACCTGGCATATTTTGGATTATGGTTAGAAAACTCGGTATCAGAGAAAAAAATGCACACAACTGGGTCCTCTATATAATGAGTTTCATATACTTTAAAATTTTCCACATTTAGACTATGTTCTCAGTACAGTTCTTTAAATCCCTTTGGATTATTATGGGGAGTGCTAAACCCGTAGAGATTATACAGCACAGGGAACTGAAGCACAGCTCCAATTCCCTAGATCAAAAGCCCCTCACCAGCACCAAGGAACCTCCCTTGAGGGTAAACCCCATGGGAGAAACTGCCTTTGATGAAAAAATTCCACAAATGTTGGAGAACATGCATAACTTCATAAATAAAACAAGACAAAATATTACTAATTTATTTTTAAATGGGGCATTTACATTTTTATTCATGGGAAAGCACTAAACTGGTAGGGGTTACAGAGTACCTTGCAGAGATTCAAGTTTGATGCAAGGAAGAATCAAACCAGAATTCCTCGTTTGATTTATTAAAATCCAAGCTATTAATGAGCACTAATAATCTAAATGATAATGGGTACTATAACTATTAATGAATGCCCAATTAGCTATAAAAGTATGAGATGCATTCAACTTAAACACAAGAACATGAAATTTATATACCTATCAATGTAAACATGAAAAAATAAATATTTCCTAAACCATTCCATGCACTAAAGGAACTGGCTAAAGTATAACTTTTAGACAATCTACTGGTCTGCTGACTCTATACAGCAAACTTTTCATTCATACAAGATTACATCCAGCTAGTTGAAGGTACTTCAGAATGTGTGCCTGTGCATCTTGGTTGATTAGTGCCAACCGCTCTTGGAGTGTTCCAGGGTGAGCCTGAGATAACTGAGCAAGACGCTGAGCAAAGTATATTTGAGAATTCTCCACTTGCCCCTTTTAAAGGGGGTCAGAATCACTTCTCCTAGCATGCATTAACCGTGCAGACGACCCTTGAAAAGCTGGAATATCCTCTATCTCAATAAAGTGCTCTCCTGCAGGCAGTGAACTATCTTCAGGACACTCAAAAAGTTTAACTAAAGTTTCTAATAATACACCCCAATGGGAATTGTAAGTTCCAGTATAGACTATAGGATCTGTTATTAAGTTGGTTAGTCCTACTGCACAAATCTTTTTTTCCACCTCACCAGACACTTTCTGAACATCTGGCACAATTAGGCGATCTATTACCATACTGAACATACCAGCCTGAAGAGTGTCTACAATTTGGATAAGGCGAGCTGCTGAATGTTGGCAGGTGAACAGACTGAAGAAGACAAGGAGGGATTTCACATACTTGGTAGTTTTACTTGAAGTTAAGCGTCTGAACATTATGGTAAACACCTGATTCCAGTAATTTTCCAAGACCTCTTTAGGCATGTGCAGAAGCATACATTGTAGCAAATAGAAACCTTCATGATCATTAGTTTTTGATGCATTTAGCTTGTTGAAAACACCAAGAACTGCTTCTAGCTTACCCAACTGCACAATCTTTGTATGAGCCTTTTCAATGTATGCCTGCAGAAGTCTTACCATGGGCGCTACATATCCTGGTCGCTCCCACAATACAGGCATAACTAAAAAGGGAAGCAATGAAAGGTAGGCTTCAGGAACTTCAGATTTTTGCCTTTCCAATAGGAGAGAGATTATTTGAAAAACATAAGGAATGAGGCTATCAATCTCATTCTGCAGTATTTCTTGAAAGATTGGGAAAAGATTTCTATCAAATTCACAAACTGCACCATCCACAGAGTTACAAATAGCCTTAATAACCAAAGAAAGTGTTTCAAACAAATAGTGAACATAATGGGGTTTTGTCTGATTTTTGGCAACATGCTGAAGCTTAATAACAAGTTGTGGTACAATGAGGCCAGCATGTTGCATCATATCGTCTTCAATAAGGCTTGTAACCCTCATCACGGTCTTCATTACATACTCGTTTTGTTCTGATCCTGGAATTGCCATAGCCCCAAGCAGGTTAATATACAGTGATCCTGCAATGGGAGCAACATCATTCTTCTGCACAACAGGTTGGTTATTCACTTGAAGTAAGAAAATTTTATCAATTGCAGCAGCAGCATATGTATGTACTACTGGTGACTGGGCAGTTAAAATCCGAGTAAGATCTGGAACACAGATCTTCACTGCATCGAAGGGTAGAGCACTACGGAAGCTGATAACATACTTGATTGCTTCAGCCTTCAATACTGGCAGGTGATTAACTGTACAAGGAGAAACTGATTAATATATACACTTACAAATAAACTGAAATTTATAATATTAACTTGATCATGGACTTGACAGGCACTTGATATTACTAACAAATTTAATCATCCCTAATTAAAATAAAAATATTTATAAGGAGCTGATAGACTAAAGAACCTGTATACAGAAGAGGCTCTGTACCATACCAATATATTCAATTTTTGCTTAATTATATTTAAGATTAAATTCATTTTCCAGCAATATATAGCATCAAATCTTCAAAGTCAATACAAGGTCACCTCAGCACAAGGCTTCCATGGTTTGCTGAATGTTTTCTCCAGGATTCAAGTCTCGTTAGCAGGCTTCCTGAATCCCTTCACGAATGTTACCTTGCTCACAATCAAACAGCACATCAATCATAAACTACTTGTCTCCACTCTGATCTAAAATGCTCAGAGAACCCTGCTGGAGGCTCCTGCCTCTAGGATTCAAAATCTCCTTTGTATGAACTATTCAAATTCATTTATTTCTTTGCAAGTAGTACATTGAGATTTATATTTTTACAGTGATGGGTTGCAGTGCAAAGACAGCCTCTATTATGCCTTGGCATTATGGTCTGACTTAATTTAATGGCTTACTGACTACTTATCACTAAAGAAATTATCATAGTTGTAAAGTAGTTCTATTAATAATAAGTGAATCTAGGGGAAGGAAGGCGAGGTAGGGGTCGTCCTCGAAAAGGTTGGAGGGAGGGGGTAAAGGAGGTTTTGTGGGCAAGGGGCTTGGACTTCCAGCAAGCGTGCATGGAAGTGAATGGAGACGAATGGTATTTGGGACCTGACGAGCTGATGGAGTGTGAGCAGAGTAATATTTGGTGAAGGGATTCAGGGAAACATGTTATTTTATATAGCCGGACTTGAGTCCTGGAAATGGGAAGTACAATGCCTGCACTTTAAAGGAGGGGTTTGAGATATTGGCAGTTTGGAGGGATATGTTGCGTATCTTTATGCATATATACTACTAAACTGTTGCATTCTGAGCACCCCTGCAAAAACAGTGATTATGTGTGAGTGAGGTGAAAGTGTTGAATGATGATGAAAGTATTTTCTTTCTTTTTGGGTCACCCTGCCTCGGTGGGAGACAGCCGACTTAAAAAAAAAAAAAATCTAATTTATACAAACCAAAGGGTATATTCATGTATTCAAAAATGCTTATGAAACATGATTCAGGAGTAGTTTTCAGTAGTTTACAGTATGAGACTGCTACAATTTGAAGGGCAATACTGGTTTTGGTAGGTATGTATACTTCTATGTGGTAATTTATCAATATACGAGCTTGGTTGTCTAGTTATGAAGTTTTAAGATTTAGGTAATTGCTAAATTTTTTGGTAGTGTTAAATATTGAGCATTGAGTATTTAGTCTAGGGTGATTAAGTGGCTTTTGAGAAGTCTTAAATTGATTTTCAGACCGGGTTACTTTGGTATTTTCTGGTAATGAATTCCAAATCTTAGGACCCTTTATGTGCATAGAGTTTTTACAGTGTGATATGGACACTGGGTACATCAGAGAGATCTGTGTCTTGTGTTATGGTCATGTGTCCAGTTTAGATTGGTGAGGAAAAGTTTGAGCAGAGGGTTTATGTTCGCATTTATTGTTCTATGTATGTAGTAGGTACATGAATAAGTATAGATGTTCTTAATGGTGAACAGATTTAGACTTTTAAATATTGGTGGAGTATGCTGTCGAGAATGGGAATTCGTTATGGCTGAATTTTTGGGCATGAATAACCAGCTAAAATCAGTTTATAAATTATCAAGTGGCATTTATTACAATTTTTTTTTTTTAACAAGTCGGCCGTCTCCCACCAAGGCAGGGTGACCCAAAAAGAAAATACTTTCATCATTCAACACTCACCTTACTCATACATAACCACTGTTTTTGCAGAGGTGCTCAGAATACAACAGTTTAGAAGCATATACATTTTTTTTTTTCAACAAGTCAGCCGTCTCCCACCGAGGCAGGGTGACCCAAAAAAGAAAGAAAATCCCCAAAAAGAAAATACTTTCATCATCATTCAACACTTTCACCACACTCGCACATTATCACTGTTTTTGCAGAGGTGCTCAGAATACAACAGTCTAGAAGCATACACATATAAAGATACACAACATATAAAGATATATAACATATCCCTCCAAACTGTCAATATCCCAAACCCCTCCTTTAAAGTGCAGGCATTGTACTCCTATCTCCAGGACTTGAGTCTGGCTATATAAAAATAACCGGTTTCCTTGAATCCCTTCACTAAATATTACCTTGCTCACACTCCAAATCTATGTATGCATTATTTAACGATGCTTCAGGGTATAAAACTGTCTTATTTTTGGCAGATTGTGCTATGATTTGTCAAAAGTGGTTTAACACCATGGATATAGTTAAGATTTTTTCCAAAATACCATCAACAACTATATGTCACTTCTGATAATTTTATTAATCAGTTACAAGTAACAGTACTATCTGCTCCAAAAATTAAAAGCTAAAATTAAATAAAAATAAAAATTAAGCATAAAACAATGGATTAAAACAAAACCAATGATTAACAAAGTTGGCAATTTTATTTTTAAATTCAACTGAAACCTTTAAAAGCCTGGAAACTCCAGTACTTAAGAGGCCATGAAGAGAGGATCAAACTTGACTCCCCAGGCCCCATGAAAGAAAATTTAATCCATTACAAGGTAAATTTCTAAGCAGTTCTCCTTTCAATCTCTTGATGGCTATGCTCAGTCACTCACTGACTTTGATAAGTACAGATGAAAATGCTTAACTTACCATCTTGATGCTTTAGTTCTGGAAGAATATGACCTTGAAAAAATTCTGTAATGTTGACCAATTCATTAATTTTTGTTGCACCATGTCTTGCAGTATGTCCCTTTGCAGAGAGTGTCGTCACCAAGTAGATAGCAGCTACTTTTATTTCTCCAGCATTCAGCAGGCTTCTCAGCATAGGTAGCTAACATTGACTGAAATAGCACAAATACAGAACCTTCATAATGCAACATCAGTGTGATTTTGTTGCAAAGTGACTGCAAAAGCACAACCAAAATTTCATAGCATATTAAAGAAATCTTGCATATTTTTTCTTTTTCAACATGTCGGCCATCTCCCACATAGGCAGGGTGATAAAAAAAAAATCTTCCATCATCATTTAACACTTTCACCTCACTCATACATAATCACTGTCTTTTGCAGATGCACCCAGATACAGTGGACCCCCGCATACCGTTGGCATCACATACCGTTTATTCCGCATACCGCTCACTTTAATCGCAAAAATTTTGCCTCGCATACCGCTGTTCGTCCGAGACACGTCCAATGTGCGCCTTAGCCAGCCTCACATGTTCCGCCGGTGGCATTGTTTACCAGCCAGCCTCCGCGGTAGCATCCAAGCATACAATCGTAACATTTCGTATTATTAGTGTTTTTGGTGATTTTATCTGGAAAATAAGTGACCATGGGCCCCAAGAAAGCTTCTAGTGCCAACCCTACAGCAATAAGGGTGAGAATTACTATAGAGATGAAGAAAAAGATCATTGAAAAGTATGAAAGTGGAGTGCGTGTCTCCGAGCTGGCCAGGTTGTATAATAAACCCCAATCAACCATCGCTACTATTGGTGGTACAGCTGCTGCTGCTGCTGCTGCACTGTCAGCTGCTGCTGCTGCTGTAGCATCGTCTGCTGCTGCTGTAGCATCGTCTGCTGCTGCTGTAGCACTGTCAGCTGCTGCTGCTGCTGTAGCATCGTCTGCTGCTGCTGTAGCACTGTTGTTGGTGTGGCTTATTGAGAATATACCAAGAAACAATTAACCCCAGGGAAGCTGTGATTTCGTGTATAGGGCAAGGAGGAATAACATCTTGTAGGAGTGAGGAAGAGCCAGTTGTGAGTGGGGGAAGTTCGTGAGGCAGTAGGTAAAATGAAAGGGGGTAAGGCAGCCGGGATTGATGGGATAAAGATAGAAATGTTAAAAGCAGGTGGGGATATAGTTTTGGAGTGGTTGGTGCAATTATTTAATAAATGTATGGAAGAGGGTAAGGTACCTAGGGATTGGCAGAGAGCATGCATAGTTCCTTTGTATAAAGGCAAGGGGATAAAGAGAGTGCAAAAATTATAGGGGGATAAGTCTGCTGAGTATACCTGGTAAAGTGTATGGTAGAGTTATTATTGAAAGAATTAAGAGTAAGACGGAGAATAGGATAGCAGATGAACAAGGAGGCTTTAGGAAAGGTAGGGGGTGTGTGGACCAGGTGTTTACAGTGAAACACATAAGTGAACAGTATTTAGATAAGGCTAAAGGGTCTTTGTGGCATTTATGGATTTGGAAAAGGCGTATGACAGGGTGGATAGGGGGGCAATGTGGCAGATGTTGCAAGTGTATGGTGTAGGAGGTAGGTTACTGAAAGCAGTGAAGAGTTTTTTACGAGGATAGTGAGGCTCAAGTTAGAGTATGTAGGAAAGAGGGAAATTATTTCCCAGTAAAAGTAGGCCTTAGACAAGGATGTGTGATGTCACCGTGGTTGTTTAATATATTTATAGATGGGGTTGTAAGAGAAGTAAATGCGAGGGTCTTGACAAGAGGCGTGGAGTTAAAAGATAAAGAATCACACACAAAGTGGGAGTTGTCACAGCTGCTCTTTGCTGATGACACTGTGCTCTTGGGAGATTCTGAAGAGAAGTTGCAGAGATTGGTGGATGAATTTGGTAGGGTGTGCAAAAGAAGAAAATTAAAGGTGAATACAGGAAAGAGTAAGGTTATGAGGATAACAAAAAGATTAGGTGATGAAAGATTGAATATCAGATTGGAGGGAGAGAGTATGGAGGAGGTGAATGTATTCAGATATTTGGGAGTGGACGTGTCAGCGGATGGGTCTATGAAAGATGAGGTGAATCATAGAATTGACGAGGGAAAAAGGGTGAGTGGTGCACTTAGGAGTCTGTGGAGACAAAGAACTTTGTCCTTGGAGGCAAAGAGGGGAATGTATGAGAGTATAGTTTTACCAACACTCTTATATGGTGTGAAGCATGGGTGATGAATGTTGCAGCGAGGAGAAGGCTGGAGGCAGTGGAGATGTCATGTCTGAGGGCAATGTGTGGTGTGAATATAATGCAGAGAATTCGTAGTTTGGAAGTTAGGAGGAGGTGCGGGATTACCAAAACTGTTGTCCAGAGGGCTGAGGAAGGGTTGTTGAGGTGGTTCGGACATGTAGAGAGAATGGAGCGAAACAGAATGACTTCAAGAGTGTATCAGTCTGTAGTGGAAGGAAGGCGGGGTAGGGTTGGCCTAGGAAAGGTTGGAGAGAGGGGGTAAAGGAGGTTTTGTGTGCGAGGGGCTTGGACTTCCAGCAGGTATGCATGAGCGTGTTTGATAGGAGTGAATGGAGACAAATGGTTTTTAATACTTGACGTGCTGTTGGAGTGTGAGCAAAGTAACATTTATGAAGGGGTTCAGGGAAACCGGCAGGCCGGACTTGAGTCCTGGAGATGGGAAGTACAGTGCCTGCACTCTGAAGGAGGGGTGTTAATGTTGCAGTTTAAAAACTGTAGTGTAAAGCACCCTTCTGGCAAGACAGTGATGGAGTGAATGATTGTGAAAGTTTTTCTTTTTCGGGCCACCCTGCCTTGGTGGGAATCGGCCAGTGTTATAATAAAATAAAAATAATTAACCCCAGACGATTTGCCACCCAGGATAACCCAAAAAAGTCAGTGTCATCGAAGACTGTCTAACTTATTTCCATTGGGGTCCTTAATCTTGTCTCCCAGGATGCAACCCACACCAGTCGACTAACACCCAGGTGAACAGGGAAAAATGCCTGGAACTAGTGCTCATATTGGTGAATTTAAAGCCAGCAAAGGTTGGTTTGAGAGATTTAAGAATCGTAGTGACATACACAGTGTGATAAGGCATGTTCTGGAAGAAAATACCAAACAGGACCTACAGTACTCAGGAGGAAAAGGCACTCCCAGGACACAGTGTCTCATCAGTCATTGCTGCATCTTCAATAAAGGTAAGTGTCATTTATTCTTCATTTAGTAGACTAGTACATGCACAATATATACTGTGCATGTACTACTCTACTATTGTGCATGTATCCTTCTCGTTGTGTGTAGGAAAATGTATATTTCATGTGGTAAATTTTTTTTTTTCATACTTTTGGGTGTCTTGCACGGATTAATTTGATTTCCATTATTTCTTATGGGGAAAATTCATTCGCATACCGATTATTTCGCATACCAATGAGCCCTCTTGCACGGATTAAAATCGGTATGCGGGGGTCCACTGTACAACAGTTTAGAAGCATATACAGTGGACACTTGACGAACAATATTAAATGGTACCCGAGAACGAATATCGTTAGTCGAGTTTTTTAGCATTAGCGGAGGCAAAATGTTTGCGTTGAAATGTATCGCTAGTCGGATTTAACGTTATACGATGCCATCGTTGGTCGAGGGTCCACTGTATAAAGATATATAACATACCCCTCCAAACTGTCAATATCCCAAACCCCTCCTTTAAAGTGCAGGCATTGTACTTCCTATCTCCAGGACTTGAGTCCGACTATATAAAAATAACCGGTTTCCCTGAATCCCTTAACTAAATATTACCCTGCTCACACTCCAACAGCTCGTCAGGTCCCAAGTACCATTCGTCTCCATTTACTCGTCTCTAACACGCTCGCGCACACTTGCTGGAAATCCAAGCCCCTCTCCCACAAAACCTCCTTTACCCCCTCCCTCCAACCTTTTTGAGGACGACCCCTACCCCGCCTTCCTTCCCCTATAGATTTATATGCTTTCCATGCCATTCTAATTTGATCCATTCTCTCTAAATGACCAAACCACCTCAACAACCCCTCTTCGGCCCTCTGACTAATACTTTTATTAATAACTCCACACCTTCTCCTAATTTCCACACTCCGAATTTTCTGCATAATATTTACACCACACATTGCTCTTAGACAGGACATCTCCACTGCCTCCAACCATCTCCTTGCTGCTGCATTTACCACCTAAGCTTCACACCCATATAACAGTGTTGGTACCACTATACTTTCATACATCCCCTTCTTTGCCTCCATAGATAACGTTCTTTGTCTCCACATGTACCTCAACGCACCACTCACCTTTTTTCCTTCATCAATTCTATGATTAACCTCATCCTTCATAAATCCATCCACTTACACGTCAACTCCCAAGTATCTGAAAACATTCACTTCTTCCATATTCCTCCTCTCCAATATGATATCCAATTTTTCTTTATCTACATCATTTGATACCCTCATCACCTTACTCTTTTCTATGTTAACTTTTAACTTTCTACCTTTACACACTCTCCCAAACTCATCCACTAACCTTTGCAATATTTCTTTAGAATCTCCCATAAGCACAGTACAGTATCATCAGCAAAAAGTAACTGTGTCAATTCCCATTTTGTATTTGATTCCCCATAATTTAATCCCACCCCTCTCCCGAACACCCTAGCAGTTACTTTTTTCAACCCCATCTATATATATATATATATACATTTTTTTTTTTTCAACAAGTCGGCCGTCTCCCACTGAGGCAGGGTGACCCAAAAAAAAGAAAGAAAATCCCCAAAAAGAAAAATACTTTCATCATCATTCAACACTTTCACCACACTCACACATTATCACTGCTTTTGCAGAGGTGCCCAGAATACAACAGTTTAGAAGCATATACGTATCAAAAAGAGAGACAACATATCCCTCCCAACTGCCAATATCCCAAACCCCTCCTTTAAAGTGCAGGCATTGTACTTCCCATTTCCAGGACTCAAGTCCGACTATATGAAAATAACCGGTTTCCCTGAATCCCTTCACTAAATATTACCCTGCTCACACTCCAACAGATCGTCAGGTCCCAAGTATCATTCGTCTCCATTCACTCCTATCTAAGACGCTCATGCACGCTTGCTGGAAGTCCAAGCCCCTAGCCCACAAAACCTCCTTTACCCCCTCTTTCCAATTCTTTCGAGGACGACCCCTACCCCTCCTTCCTTCCCCTATAGATTTATATGCTTTCCATGTCATTCTACTTTGATCCATTCTCTCTAAATGACCAAACCACCTCAGCAACCCCTCTTCTGCCCTCTGACTAATGCTTTTATAAACTCCACACCTTCTCCTAATTTCCACACTCCGAATTTTCTGCATAATATTTACACCACACATTGCCCTTAGACAGGACATCTCCACTGCCTCCAACAGTCTCCTCGCTGCTGCATTTACCACCCAAGCTTCACATCCATATAAGAGTGTTGGTACTACTATACTTTCATACATTCCCTTCTTTGCCTCCATAGATAACGTTTTTTGACTCCACATATACCTCAACGCACCACTCACCTTTTTTCCCTCATCAATTCTATGATTAACCTCATCCTTCATAAATCCATCCGCCGACACGTCAACTCCCAAGTATCTGAAAACATTCACTTCTTCCATACTCCTCCTCCCCAATTTGATATCCAATTTTTCTTTATCTAAATCATTTGATACCCTCATCACCTTACTCTTTTCTATGTTCACTTTCAACTTTCTACCTTTACACATTCTCAAACTCATCCACTAACCTTTGCAATTTTTCTTTAGAATCTCCCATAAGCACAGTATCATCAGCAAAAAGTAACTGTCAATTCCCATTTTGAATTTGATTCCCCATAATTTAATCCCACCCCTCTCCCGAACACCCTAGCATTTACTTCTTTTACAACCCCATCTATAAATATATTAAACAATCATGGTGACATTACACATCCCTGTCTAAGACCTACTTTTACCGGGAAGTCTCTCTCTCTTCTACACACCCTAACCTGAGCCTCACTAGCCTCATAAAAACTCTTTACAGCATTTAGTAACTTACCTCCTATTCCATATACTTGCAACATCTGCCACATTGCTCCCCTATCCACTATCATATGCCTTTTCTAAATCCATAACTGCAATGAAAACTTCCCTACCTTTATCTAAATACTGTTCACATATATGCTTCAATGTAAACACCTGATCAACACATCCCCTAACCACTCTAAAACCTCCTTGCTCATCTGCAATCCTATATCTGTCTTACCTCTATATATATACTTATACAGTGGACCCCCAGTATTCGATATTAATCCGTTCCTGAGAGATCATCGAATACCAAAAATATCGAAACGCTAATCAATTTTCCCCATAAGAAATAATGGAAATCAAATTAATCCGTGCAAGACACCCAAAAGTACGGAAAAAAAAATTTACCACATGAAATATTAAGTTTAATGCAATAGAATAATTACAATAACAACAATAACAATAGAATAATTGACACTTACCTTTAATGAAGATCTGGTGATGATTGATGGGATGGGAGAGGAGAGTGTCGAAGTTGTTACTGTTTAGAAGGGGAATCCCCTTCCATTAGGACTTGAGGTAGCAAGTCCTTTTCCGTGGTTACTTCCGTTCTTTTAATGCCACTAGGACCAGCTTGAGAGTCACTGGACTTCTGTCGCACAACATATCTGTCCATAGAGGCCTGTGCCTCTCATTCCTTTATGACTTTCCTAAAGTGGTTCACAACATTGTCATTGTACAGGTTGCCAACACGGTTTGCAGTAGCTGTGTCAGGGCGATTTTCATCAAAAAAGATTTGCACTTTAAGCCACATTGCACACATTTCCTTAATCTTTGAAGTAGGCAACTTCCTCAATTTCTCTATCCCCTCCTCCGAAGCAGTTTCCTCAGGTCTGGCCTCTTGCTGTTGAAGATGATCTAGCAGCTCATCAGTGGTTACTTCGTCATTGTCCTCCTCCACCAACTCTTCCACATCCTCCCCACTAACCTCCAACCCCAAGGACTTCCCCAATGCCACAATGGATTCCTCAACTGGCATACACTTCTCAGGGTTAGCCTCAAACCCTTCAAAATCCCTTTTGTCTATACATTCTGGCCACAGTTTTTTCCAAGCAGAGTTCAAGGTCCTCTTAGTCACTCCCTCCCAAGCCTTACATATAAGGTTTATACAATTGAGGATATTAAAGTGATCCTTCCAAAACTCTTTTAGAGTCAGTTGAGTTCCTGTGGTCACTACAAAGCACTTCTGAAACAGCTTTTGTGTACAGTTTCTTGCACAAGAATGGTGTACAATACCGACAAGATGAAATTGAGACATGTGCAACATCTGGGTATCTTTATTGTAGACGTTTCGCCATCCGGTGGCTTTATCAATACAAGTTCCAGGACATAACTTGAAGACAGGAGAACTATGTACGGAAGATGAGGTAATCAGTCCCTCAACCTAGCAGTAGGTGCGAAGAGCACCATAGTCGTGGAGATTCTGAAGCTGAAGCAAGGTGCCTGATGCTTATATAGTAACGTCAGGTGGAAATTTGACGGGTAGCAGACGAGGGCATAGGAATCTTGATTCTGAGGACATGTACATAACCTTCACGACTACGACAACTACTACCACAACTAACCCATCTCTTTGGGTAGGACCTACTTCCACCGGGGAATCCCGCCTACCAGTGACTATGCCCTCGCCTGCTACCCGTCCCATTTCCACCTGACGTTACTATACAAGTGTCAGGCGCCTTGCTTCTGCTTCAGAATCTCCACGACTATGGTGCTCTTCGCACCTACTGCTAGGTTAAGGGACTGATTACCTCATCTTCTGTACATAGTTCTCCTGTCTTCAAGTTATGTCCTGGAATTTGTATTGATAAAGCCACTGAATGGCGAAACGTTTACAATAAAGATACCCAGATGTTGCACACCTGTCTCAATTTCATCACAGTTTCTTGAAGTTGGAAATGACCTGCTGGTCCATGGGCTGCAGTAGAGGAGTGGTATTAGGAGACAAAAACTTGACCTTAATGAAGCTCATGTCCGCAGAAAGTCGCTCTGCCACATCTGAAGGATGACCATGAGCATTGTCTAATACAAAGAGGCACTTATGGTCTAATTTCTTTTCAATTAGGTAATTTTTCACAGTGGGGGCAAATGCATGGCATAACCAGTCATAGAAAAAGTCCCTAGTGACCTATGCCTTACTGTTTGCCCTCCACAGCACACACAAATTAGCCTTGAGGACAATGTTTTTCCTTAACACTCTGGGAGTTTCAGTGTGATACACCAATAAAGGCTTCACTTTGCAATCACCACTAGCATTGGCACACCTCAACAGAGTAAGCCTGTCTTTCATAGGCTCATGTCCTGGGAGTGCCTTTTCCTCCTGAGTAATGTAGGTCCTGCTTGGCATTTTCTTCCAAAACAGGCCTGTTTCATCGCAATTAAACACCTGTTCAGGTTTAAATTCTTCACTGTCTATGTAACCCTTCAATTCCTTCACATATTTTTCAGCTGCTTTTTGGTCCGAACTGGCAGCCTCACCATGCCTAATCACACTATGTATGCCACTACGATTCTTAAATCTTTCAAACCAACCTTTGCTGGCCTTAAATTCACTCACATCACCACTAGTTGCAGGCAATTTCTTTACCAAATCGTCATGCAGCTGCCTAGCCTTTTCACAAATGATCGCTTGAGAGATGCTATCTCCTGCTATCTGTTTTTCTTTTATCCACACCAATAACAGTCTCTCAACATCTTCTAACACTTGCGGTCGCTGTTTCGTAATCACTGTTGCACCTTTTGCAAGAACAGCTTCCTTGATTGCCATTTTCCTGGTCACTATAGTAGAGATGGTTGATTGGGGTTTACTATACAACCTGGCCAGCTCCGACACACGCACTCCACTTTCGTACTTTGTAATTATCTCTTTCTTCATTTCAATAGTCATTAGCACCTTTTTTCTCGAAGGGTTGGCACTAGAAGTTTTCTTGGGGCCTATGGCGACTTATTTTGCAGAAACAAGCACCAAAAACAGTGATAACATGGAATGCACCGAATGTATCCTTAGATGCACGCACACTGCCTGACTTGTAAACACTGGCACACACGGGGCAGTTCAGGCCACACGTGGACACGTCTCGTACGAATTGCATCGAATACCGGGTTTTCGATCGGATACCGAGGTGAAATTTTTGCGTTAAAATGCATCGAATACCGGATTTATCGAATACCGGGGGTCCACTGTATATATAAAATACAATGGCCATCTCTCACCAAGGTAGAGTGACCAGAAAAGAAGAAACATTTTCACCATTATTCATTCTACTACTGTCTTGCCAGAAGCACACACCTACTGCAGCTCAGATGCCCTCCAAACTGCAAATATTCTCACCAGTCTTTCAAGAGTGCAGGCACTGTACTTTACACCTCCAGAATTCAAGTCCGGCTAACTGGTTTCCCTGAATACCTTCAGAAAATGTCTTGCTCACACTAACAGCTTATCAAGCCCCAAAAACCATTTGCCTTCACTTGCTCCTTTCAAGTACACACACACACATACCTGTCAGACGTCAAAAAACCCCACACACAAAATGTTTACCTTGTCCCTCCAACCTTTCCTAGGGTGGCCCCTACCCTGCCTTCCCTCCACTAGATATATACACCCTCCAAGTCATTCTATTTTCCTCCATCCTCTATGTCCAAACCACCTCAATATCCCTCCTTAGCCCTCTAGATATTACTTTTAGTAACCCCCCCTATCTCTTAATTCTCCGCATAACATTCACACCACACATTATCCCGAGATACGACATCTCCACTCCCTCCAGTCTCATCACTGCAGCATTTAAAACCCATACTTCATACCCATGTAAATGTTGATACCACTGAGTTATAATTACATAATTACTCACTTGTACATATTGGCCAAAAACCTGAGTCATTCTGGCCTCAAAGTGTCTAGATAGTACTCTAACGAAGTCAACGGCTGCTCTCCGCCGGGTTTCAGAGTCTGCACCTTCCAGTTCCTGTGCCACCCACTGGTCTGGGCTATCTTCAAACAATTCTTCATCACATGCTACAAAGTTAAAACTTAGAGATTAGATGCAATGATAAGGAAGCTTTACATACATTTCAACTCTGACACATCCCTGCTTCAAAGATCAACAGTGTTATTGATTTTGTGATGATTCTCAAGAATAGTTTAGTCTACAAAATAGTTGAACTGTGCTGTGAACATTTTATCAGAAAATGGAAAGGTGAACATTTTATCAGAAAATGGAAAGGTGAACATTTAATCAGAAAATGGAAAGGTGAACATTTTGTCAGAAAATGGAAAGGTGAACATTTTATCAGAAAGTGGAAAGGTGAAGATTTTATCAGAAAATGGAAAGGTGAACATTTTATCAGAAAGTTGAAAGGTGAAAAATCACCACACATCTTTTAATCCATTTCAAGATTACTCTTTCCATTCTTTCTAAGCAGTGGAATGCAGTGAAAATGACTTGTATATTAACAATTATTGCAAAACAAACCAGAGAGGGATGGAAATCTTCAGCTCAAGATCTTCACACAAGATCTATGTAATGATGCAAGAGCTACAATAAGCAAATTGAGAAGTTTTCTCAGGGGAAAGGTAGCATGTTGACATTGGACTCTTCTGCATAAAATGTGGTATGTTACATGTTGCTATAGCATATGCAATTAAAATTTACAAGTCTTTCTTGTTAATTCACTCATAAGGACTAAAGGTCCCTTCTACATTAATGGTCACTCAATATAATGGCTTGCTTTCAAAAAAGGGAAAGGCACGATCATTCATAATAACGTTAAACTTACGTCTCAAATGCATGTTGGGAAGTATTACTTTCTCACAAATTCCTGAGAGTACTTGTTCATTTTCAAAGAGACCCTTGCTGTGATCCCGCTCAGCAACTGCACACAGAAACTGGATAGCATGACTCACCATCTGTAATTTTAGCAGCAAAGTATATAGAGAGGATATATGCACTTCTTTATTATTCCTGGCAATCCAAAACAAGCCAATATTTTTTAGATACTTCATAGGGTATAATGCTAGTGCAGAGGCAGACACACTAAAATACAAATATAAAATAAAGAGCAAAAAGGAGTAACAGGAGCTAAACTGACAAGAATTTTAATTTCTACTCTAAAATACTTACCTGATCATACTTGACTGCCAGGGTGGTTGTTGATAAGAGGTTCCACACAGCTGTTACAAATTTTTCAATGAACGGTTCAAATTCTTCTCTGTACTTGGCTGCATACAAGGTTATGTCTTCACAAACTTGACTTTTTACCTGGAGAGAAACTAAGTATGGAAACCACATAATGAAAATTAAGACTACAATTTACCACTGTATGTTGAAATTAAAATTGCTACCTACTTAGGAAATCAAGCTTGAATTTGTTTCTTTCAGCTCGCTGATTATATGAAAAGATTAGCAATGATAGACACTAATAACAGTGAAGTCCGTTACAGGTACAATTCATCCATAGGTGGGATTTTTGCATACAGTGCTGTACTAGAAAAAGCTCACCCACAGATGAAGCTTTGTACCAACAAGGAACTAAAATGCAATTGGTGTCTTGTGAACACTCGTCAGCTTTACACCTCCAATTTCCAATGATTAAAGTTTATATTTTGAAGTAATGAAAAGGGTTTGTAAATGAATAACTTGACCCAGAGATGGAGTCTACATGTCTTATTACCTAAAGAGCTCATCTTAGGCAAAGATAAGTTAATAAAAATGTTGTACATGTAGCCTAATCACTACCATTTTTCTAGCTATGAAATAATTTACATGATATGCAGTATAATAAATAAAAGCTATTTTTTGTGAATTTTACATGAAAAATAAAATTTTGCAACAGTCAGTGAAATGGGTGTTAACTAACAAGGAATGGTGACTTTCAAACATTCCCAAGTCACACAATTAATAAAGATCACAAAGCAATTATTTTCAGAATTAAATTTATTTATAAACTGGTACTGCTAAATAAGACTGCAAGCCCTGAAAAAGGACTGTAGTTGGTGATAATTAACCTGTATTATGTTGCTTAAATGACCTTCAAACATTTTTTTTTTCAAGTTGGCCATCTCCCACCAAGGCAAGGTGACCCAAAAGGAAAAAATCCCCAAAAAAGAAAATCCTTTCATCATTCAACACTTTCACCTCACTTATATATAATCACTGTCTGTGCAGAGGTGTCCAGATACAACAGTTTAGAAGCATATATAAAGATATATAACATATCCTTCCAAACTGCCAATATCCCAAACCCCTCCTTTATAGTGCAGGAATTGTACAGGTCCGCCATCACAAATCCGGCAATCAGTTATTCGGTTCCTTCAGTTATTCGGCACTAATTTTGGCTATCATAATTTCAAATTTCCAGGGTCGCCACACCAACCTGCTGGTACTGTTTGGTGGCGCTACTTGCTGCATAAGTCATTCCAATTTCTTTTTCTCCATTTATTGTATTAACCTGCTTACTTTTAGCCCTAGCCATGGTTCCAATGAATAGAAGAAATGCTTCTCATTATGTAAAGCACCTACACAGTACATTATCCATTAAAGATAAGGTGGTTTTGAAGTCATTGTCGGTTGCCATGAACTCAGTCTCATGAAGCAGGAGAATATGCTTTATTATTACGCTAATATCAACACTACAGCGTATTTGCCTATCACATTTGATTTAATATGACATAATAAACAATATAAATAATATAAAACACGTTAAATACTCCAGAATAAATAATATTTGGCATAACACCGAGCAGTTCGACGGAGGTATGAAGAGGATATGGTATACAAATACCATTCTCCTATCCCTGTCTTGGGGCTTATATTAGAGAAAATGGAGTATAGCACAGGGCTAACTGTGATATACACTCATACTGCACCATAAACTTGAAACAAAAAAGTTATTTTCTCTATATAGATTATCACACATAGCAGCATGTGTGTAGAGAACTTAGGATAACCCCAAAAAAGTCAACGTGGCTTATTTTTAGTACCTGGCTTGGGTTATCCATGTATGATTTTTGGTAAATACACCTACCATCTGACTTACGACCGAGTTTGGTTCCGAGAAACCGGTCGTAAGTTGAAATGGACGCAAGTCGAACTTTACTACTGAATATCAACATAACATTTTTATAATGTTTTATTTTGGTATTTCATGTTTTACTTTACTTTTTATGCTGTTAGTACTGTATTTTATGCTGTAAGGTTTAGGATAAACACTGTGTACAACACAAACACGTGTTTATTTCCCAGAAATTTGGCATAAAAAACATGGTCGTAAATCGAGTCGTCGTAAGTCGAGCAGGTCGTAAGTCGGATGGTAGGTGTACTCGATTCCCAGCCAGGGTAGAAACATTAGGCGTGTTTCTTTACACCTGTTGTCTGTTTACCCATCAGTAAATGGGTACCTGGGTGTTAGCCGACTAGTGTGGGTATTATACTGGGACACTGACCTAATTTTCTTGAAATACTCTGCATAACAAGCGGCTTTCTACATAGTAGTGTCACTGATGTCAGCTATGTCTGTGTACCTTGTACATGTACGTGTAGTAAATAAAGATATTATTATTATTAATTATTATATTATTATTTTCTCAGTTGTTTGTTGGGTTATCTTATTCAAACTTGGGCAATGTGTGATGGAAAGATACTTCTTAATGTACACCAAAAATGAAAGAAATCAGACTATAAATAGCGGAGTTCACTTCTCAGCCATTAGCGGCTGCTTAGCGGTATATTTTTGTATGTTTTTTATGGTTATAGTATTTTCATTTTTTTGGTCTCATTTGATAGAATGAAAGATATATTACAGAAAAAAATATGATTTTGATTGTTTTCACGACGAAAAGTACCTTGAAATTGCACTCACAGTAGCGAAAATGTTCTTTTCTTTAGCGAAGCTCAAGAGTAAACACCGTCCAATACCTGTCCGCTTGCCAATCCAAATTCCAATACGTAGTCAAGAATGGGTCGACATTATTTATACAATTATTACAATAATGCAGCAGTCTGCATAACAGTAAATCTATTATTTTTTTGTGAATAAAAATTCCAAATGGTAAGCAAGAGTAATATAAGAGGGGCTTGTAGCCGTGACTAATTAACAGAGAAAATGTTATTTTTGTGCCAGGAATGTCTGCATTGTTTATTCTGGACCCTATTTTGAAATTGGCAACTGTTGAAATTTGTGTGAAATCGGACAAATTGCCAATTTCTGACCACTTTATTGGGTAGTTGAAATAAGTGAATGGGCAGTTTCTTGTATTCAGTTGACAGACTAGAAGTAAATAAGTTCATTCAGGTATACAGTTACATAGATTATCATACATAGCAGCGCATGTATAGAGAACCTAGGATAACCCAGAAAAGTCAAAGTGACTTATTTCCAGTACTTGGCTTGGGCTTGCCATATGATTTTTGGTAAATATTTTTTTTTCTCGGTTGTTTGTTGGGCTATCTCATTGAAACTTGGGCAATGTATGATGGAAAGATGCTTCTTAACGTACAACAAAAATAAAAAAGACGGACGATAAATAAGGGAGTTCACTTCTCAGCCATTAGCCGCCTCTTTGCAGTATATTTTCCTATGTTTTTTATGGTTGTATTCTCATTTTTTGGACTCATTTGATAGAATGGAAGATATATTACAGAAATAGACATGATTTTGATTGCTTTCATGACGAAAAGTACCTTGAAACTGAGCTCAAAGTAGCACAAATGTTCAATTTTTGCCAATGTTCAATGAACTTTGTGTAAGTTGGTTAATTTTATTAAGTGTATTCTAACCTAACCACTCTGTAATCTGGCACACTACAGGTCCCAATGATGCCAGATTTGTGATGGAGGACCTGTACTTCCCATTTCCAGTACTCAAGTCCAGTTATATAAAATAACCGGTTTCCCTGAATCCCTTCACTAAATATTACCCTGCTCACACTCCAACAGCTCGTCAGGTCCCAAAAACCATTCATCTCCATTCACTCCTATCAAACACGTTCACGCACGCTTGCTGGAAGTCCAAGCTCCTCGCCCACAAAACCTCCTTTACCCCTCCCTCCAACCTTTTCGAAGATGACCCCTATCCCGCCTTCCTTCCCCTACAGATTTATAAGATCTCCATGTCATTCTACTCTGATCCATTCTCTCTAATAACCAAACCACCTCAACAACCCCTCTTCAGCCCTGACTAATACTTTTACTCCAAACCTTCTCTTAACCCCTTGACTGTCGCAACCCCCAATCCTGAGGTGTCTCCTGGTGTCGCAAAATTTAAAAAAAAAAAATTATTTTTTTCTTATGAAATGATAGAATCTTTTCCCGATTGTAATGACACCAAAAAAAGCGAAATTTGATGGAAAACTGACGGAATTATGCTCTCGCGACGTTAGCGACGTCGGCGCTGTTTACAAATCGGCGATTTCACCCAATTTGAGCCCTATTTTCGGCTAATTCTGTTGTTCCAGTCGCCCAAACTCATAGCTATTTCTTTAGAACTTCATTTTTTCTATCGATTGAGTACAAGAAACTGCCCATTTACCGATTTCAACTACCTAATAATGTGGTCAGAAATTTGCAATTTGGCCAATTTCACGAAAACTAAAAAATATGACAATTTCAAAATAAGGTCCAGAATGAACAATGCAGACATTCCTGGCTCTAAAATAACATTTTCTTTGTTCATCAGTCATGTCTCCAGCCCCCTCTGATATTACTCTTGCTTTCTATTTTGAATTTTTATTCAAACAAAAAATAGAAGACTACGTATTATGAAGACTACTGCAATACTGTAATAATTGTATAAATAACATCAACCCATTCATGACTGCATATTAGAATGGCTAGTTGGACATTTATTGGACAATGGCATCATTTGTTTACTTTTGAACATTGGCAAAAATCAAACATTTCCCCTACTTTGAGCTCCATTTCAAGGTTCTTTTCAGAGTAAAACCACTCAAAATCACCTCTATTTCTACAATATGTTTTCCATTCTATCAAATGAGACCAAGAAAACGAGAATACAACCAAAAATACTATACGAAAATAGACCCCAAAGTCGGCATTTTAATTAAAAAAAAAAAAAAACGGTTGGGTTTTTTTTTCTCATTATGCACTGCGTGCTCCAGGATTTTTTTTATACGATGCACACTGACCACACAGACCAATTCTCTCACATGTGGGGCTACCAGCTTTCTCCTGCTTGATTTGAAGCCGCTAGAATTTATGAGTATATATACGTCAAACACGGTACCTCGTAAGACGTATATATACGGCCGCGACAGTCAAAGGGTTAATTTCCACACTACAAATTCTCTGCATAATATTTACACCTCCACTGCCTCCAACCGCCTCCTCGCTGCAGCATTTACAACCCAAGCTTCATACCCGTTTAAGTGTTGGTACCACTATACTGTACTTTCATACATTCCCTTCTTTGCCTCCATAGATAACATTTTTTGTCTCTCCATATACCTCAATGCACCACTCGCCTTTTTTCTTTCATCAATTCTACAATTAACCTTATCCTTCATAAACCCATCTGCTGACACATCAACTTCCAAATATCTGAAAACATTCACTTCTTCCATACTCCCTCTCTCCAATGTGATATCCAATTTTTCTTTATCTAAATCATTTGATACCCTCATCACCTTACTCTTATCTATGTTCACTTTCAACTTTATCCACCCTCCCAAATTCATCCACTAACCTTTGCAACTTTTCTTTAGAATCTCCCATAAGCACAGTATGATCAGCAAAAAGTAACTGTCAACTTCCATGTTGTATTTGATGTTCCATAATTTAATCCTACCCCTCTCCCCAAAACCTTAACATTTACTTCTTTTACAACCCCATCTACAAATATATTAAACAACCATCGTGACATTACACATCCCTGTCTAAGACCTACATTTACCACTAAGTAATCTCCCTCTGCTCTACACACCCTAACCTGAGTCACACTATCCTCATAAAAACTCTTTACACCATTCAATAACTTACTACTTATTCCATATACTTGCAACATCTTCCACATTGCTCCTCTACCCACTATCATATGCCTTTTCTAAATCCATAAATGCAATGAAAACTTCCCTACCTTTATCTAAAACTGTTCACATATATGCTTCAATGTAAACACTTAACACATCCTCTACCCACACTAAAGCCTCCTCGCTCATCCGCAATCCTACGTTCTGTCTTGCCTCTAATTCTTTCAATAATAACACTACCATACACTTTTCCTGGTATACTCAATAAACTTATTCCCCTATAATTTTTACAATCTCTTTTGTCCCCCTTCCCTTTATATAAAGGGACTATACATGCTCTCTGCCAATCCCTAGGTACCCCACCCTCTTTCATACATTTATTAAACAAAAACACCAACTACTCCAACACTATATCCCCCCCCCCCTGCTTTTAACATTTCTGTCATAATCCCGTCAGTTCCAGCTGCTTTACCCCCTTTCATTCTACGTAATGCGTCACGCACCTCCCCCACACTTCGTGCTCTTCTTCACTCCTAAAAGATGTTATACCTCCCTGGCCAGTGCATGAAATTACCGCCTCCCTTTCTTTGTTGACATTTAAAAGTTCCTCAAAATATTCTCGTCATCTACCCAATACCTCCATCTCCCCATCTACTAACTCTCCTGCTCTGTTTTTAACTGACAAATCCATTCTTTCCCTAGGCTTTCTTAACTTGTTTATCTCACTCCAAATTTTTTTCTTATTTTCATCAAAATTTCTTGACAGTGCCTCTCCCACTATCATCTGCTCTCCTTTTGCACTCTCTCACGACTCTTTTTGCCTTTCTTTTACTCTCCATATAGTCTGCTCTTCTTATAACACTTCTGCTTTGTAAAAGCTCACCCTTTACTTTTATCACACCCTTTACTTCATCATGCCACCAATCACTCCACTTTCCTCCTGCACCCACCCTCCTATAGCCACAAACTTCTGCCCCACATTCTAATACTGCATTTCTGAAACTATTCCATCCCTCTTCAACCTCCCCACTACTCATACTTGCACTAGACCGCCTTTCTGCCAATAGTTACTCATATCTCACCCTAACTTCTTCTTCCCTTAGTTTATACACTTTCACCTCTCTTTTACTTGCTGTTGCCATTTTCCTTTTGTCCCATCTACCTCTTACTCTAACTGTAGCTACACCTAAATGATCCGATGTATTAGTTGCCCTTCTATAAACATGTACATCCTAAAGCCTACTCATCAACCTTTTATCCACCAATACATAACTTAAAATTTCATTACAACTATATCATACCTTGTATACTTACTTATCCTCTTTTTCATAAAATATGTATTACTTATTACCAAATCTCTTTCTACACATAGCTCAATTCAAGGCTCCCCATTTTCATTTACCCCTGGTACCCCAAATTTACCTACTACTCCCTCCACAACATTTTTACCCACTTTAGCATTGAAATCCCCAACCACAAGTACTCTCACACTTGGTTCAAAACTCCCCATACACTCGCTCAACATTTCCCAAAATCTCTCTCCTCTACACTTCTCTCTTTTCCATGTGCATAAATGCTTACTATAACCCACTTTTCACATCCAACCCTTATTTTACTCCACATAATCTTTTCTTTTTAGTAGGCTATATGAGAAAAGGGGTTACTAGCCTAATGTTCCCGGCATTTTAGTCGACTCTTATAACACGCATATCTTACAGAGGACAGACTCTTATTCCACTTCCCCATGGATATAAAAGGAAAAGCAATAAGAACAAGAACTATTAAGATAAAATCAAAGAAAACTCAGATGAGTGTATACATTAATGTGTACATGTATGTGTAGTGTGACCTAAGTGTAAGTAGAAGTAGCAAGACATACCTGAAATCTTGCACGTTTAGGAGAAAAAAAAAAAAAAAAAAAAAAAAAAAAAAAAAAAAAAAAAAAAAAAAAGACACCAGCAAACCTACCATCATGCAAGACAATTACAGGCTTTCATTTTACACTCACTTGGCATGACGATAGTACCTCCCTGGGTGGTTGCTGTCTGAACATAAATAATGCAACAAAGGCATCGTCTGATACAGTTTAGCAATATGGTTGAAAGTTGAGAGATGGAAACAAGAAATAGTTTCCTTTTTTCTCCCCTACACTCAGACAGTATCTATTACGTTTATAAAAAAATTATTCTGACCTGCTCCAGAACACCAATTTCATCATCTTGTGATTCTAGTAGTGGGCTTGTGAAATTAAGTAGATTGAGAAACTGTTCCATCCAGACAGCCATGTTGTCCTCAAAGAACTCTGGAAGATCTTGGGAATTGAGGGCCAGAAAAAGTTTTCCAACAGATACTAGAGATGAGAAGATCACTTTGAGGGCTACTGCATTGTTCAAGTTGTCACCAGCAAATTTCATCAATTCCTGTACAGGAATAAAAACTCCATTATATATTCCTAAATTAAGCAGCTCTGATGAATAATTAAATTCAAAAAGTATCTGATGCAAAGACAGGAAAACAATAGACTATTCCATTAATTTGGTTATGCATAATTTTTTACATGTCCTTTTTACTTATTTATATGCAGTTCCACTTGTATAATATATACACATTGAAGGGAAAAGTTAAATTTAATAGTTCAAATGCAAATGCAATTTACATGGTTTTTATTTCATGTTTGTTGCAACCTACCTAAAACCAAAAAAAATACAATGTAATAATGAAGACTGATGGAGGTAGCAGTAGAGCATCTAGTCTGATAAAATGAATGGTTAAAAAAAAATCCATGTCATTTTATGAGCATTATTTGAAATAGGAAGAAAGGAGAGAGAATAACTAAATAGGATTTTCTTATGCAAATCCAACAATGAATTCAATTGAAAAAATACCCAAGGAATTAAAATCTTTCAATAGCAATGTAGGAAGGCAAAACTCGGGAAAAGAGCATGGAAAAATGCAGTGCAAACCTGGTGCTGAAGAGTATACTAAAAGAATAAAAATTAACATCTTAAAGAAAAAGAAACGAAATATAATATAAAATGACAAGTGAAGTCCCTGACAAAAATTTGTGAAGTAAAAGGACACAAGTGCAACTAATGTGACATTTTATTGTGGCAACGTTTCACTCTCTAAAATACAGTACTTATATACATTCACTTAAACAGAGAATCACCAAACCCACACTGGCTTATAGGACTTGGTGGGAACCTTCATTAACATTTTTTTTTTTTTCCCAACAAGTCGGCTGTCTCCCACCGAGGCAGGGTGATCCTAAAAAGAAAGAAAATCCCCAAAAAGAAAATACTTTCATCATCATTCAACACTTTCACCTCACTAATACACAATCACTGTCTTTGCAGAGGCACTCAGATAAGACAGTTTAGAAGTCCCTCCAAACTGTCAATATCCCAAACCCCTCCTTTAAAGTGCAGGCTTTGTACTTCCCATTTCCAGGACTCAAGTCCGGCTAACCGGTTTCCCTAAATCCCTTCACTAAATATTACCCTCCTCGCACTCCAACAGCTTGTCAGGTAAACTAACATTTTTGCTTCAATCAAAAACAAAAGTAGAGAAAATTAAATAAACATATTAATACACCATCAATTAAAACAGAATTGCTAGCAAAAATATGCACAGGGCACTTAGTTGAAAAGTTAAGTAAAGAATAAAAAGGCACAATATCATGCGACTAGTTAATGATCCAAGTCAGATTGAAATGTTGTCTTTTTTTATGTGCAGGTCATGTAGCAAAAGTAAAGTATTATATTTTTTATTTTTTATCATCACACTGGCCGATTCCCACCAAGGCAGGGTGGCCCGAAAAAGAAAAACTTTCACCATCATTCACTCCATCACTGTCTTGCCAGAAGGGTGCTTTACACTACAGTTTTTAAACTGCAACATTAACACCCCTCCTTCAGAGTGCAGGCACTGTACTTCCCATCTCCAGGACTCAAGTCCGGCCTGCCGGTTTCCCTGAATCCCTTCATAAATGTTACTTTGCTCACACTCCAACAGCACGTCAAGTATTAAAAACCATTTGTCTCCATTCACTCCTATCAAACACGCTCACGCATGCCTGCTGGAAGTCCAAGCCCCTCGCACACAAAACCTCCTTTACCCCCTCCCTCCAACCTTTCTTAGGCCGACCCCTACCCTGCCTTCCTTCCACTACAGACTGATACTCTTGAAGTCATTCTGTTTCGCTCCATTCTCTCTACATGTCCGAACAATAAATCTGAATAGATTTTAGTTACATTACACATGAACTTACCACAAGAAGATTTGTTAATGGCTGAGCAAAGTTCTCCAAGACAAATTTTATTTCTCGCCATAAATCGTCTGACTTGTTCTCGTATTCATATCTTCTCATTACAGAGTATGATGTTTGAAGGACTCCATTTATGATGTTAAAGTCACCTGTTAGAAAAATTTACCTTCATTAGTTACACCGACAAACTTTATTTCAGTCAATTGCAGAATGGGTGGAACTGCAACCCATGGCAGGTGAGTTCTATAACTCGCATGCCAGTCTTAATTTCAGTAAAGCTCTTACAATGTACAGTAGCACACAAAGTAAAAGCAAATATTGGTCTCATTCATGAATACCCAATTCTGCCTTTATCGTTGTTCTTAAACTTTATGGGTATGTTACTAGTGAAAATCATTGAACATAGTTTTATATTTCAGCATGCATCTCCAAGACCAAAGAAATATTCAAGCTGCATTTTAACAATTACTGCCACAAAAGAATGTATGTAAGTTTTGTAAGTTTACCATTAAAGCAAAAATTATAACTCTTAGGAAATTTGGTATCTCAATGCAACATTTCTTTCCAATTAAATATTTTGGAAAATATATAACCTATGCAATTTATCCTTTGACTGTCATTCCACATAATGTGCTGTATATAAAATCAACAAATAAATCACTAAGCCCTATACCCAGCTTAACAAAAATGACAAAGTAAGCACATTACCAAGACATTTCCAGCATCTTACCCGATTTGAACTTTTCTGCCATATAAGGGATTAGATCTAGCCATTGATGGGGAAAATCAGACTTTCCAATAATGGAAATGGCTTCAGAAAGCTGCCGCTGGACACCTTCAGAAGACCTCAACATGAGGTCGACGATTTCTCGCTTTATAACCGTACGATCATTGGCACTAATTTTGTTGGTTTCATCTTCATCCTGAAAAATTTACCTTCATTATTACTTGTACAAACAATCTGAGCTAAGCATATACACCATCCTTATTCTTTTTACCTGTGATTGGTTTCGAGGGCTCGTTTATCCCTACAGCCCAGTCTAAGGCCAGACTTCCCTGTTCATCATTCCCTGGTCAACCAGGCTGTGCTAGTGGCCTGCAGGCTTAAATAGCTGTTGCTACCTTCCAAGTACATGGAAAACACAAAATTATGGAATTTCCCAAGGAAAATACAGACTTATTTTAACCCAAGAAAAAAATATAGACATGTACAATAAAGAACAGAAGAGTAAAAGTTAATGCGTACCAATAAGTAACTCAACCATGTTTTCAGTACCAGAATAGTGGACATCAGTTAGCAATCAATGCTAACTGATGTGCAGGAAAGGTGACTATGAAGGAATGAATCCTTTTGTATCTCAAGTAAGGTGATGAATTCAGGGAATAGTCTAATCAGGAAATGGTAATTTTCAACCAGAAATGCAAAAGAAAAAAAAATTTGCATCAATTCATGGGGAAAAAAACGGTGAAGTCCATGGCTCAACGTACAACATAAAGAGGCAAATTCCAGTACAAAAACATGAAAAAGGTATGATTAAACCAACAACAGAAGACAGAAAAGAGAAGCTAGCAGAAGAGCTAGGAATGATTGTTTTTCTGGGGAAAAGAGACTGAGAAAATTTGAAATGATTATAGCAGTAAAGGCAAAAGCAAAACTAAGGATTAACCCTTTGACTGTTTTCGACGTATAAATACGTCTTACGAGCCAATGTTTTTGACGTATATATACTCAATAATTCTAGCGGCTTCAAATCAAGTGGGAGAAAGCTGGTAGGCCCACATGTGAGAGAATGGGTCTGTGTGGTCAGTGTGCACCACGTAAAAAAAATCCTGCAGCACACATTACGTAATGAGAAAAAAAAAACTGATCGTTTTTTTGGAATAAAACGCCGACTTTAATGTGTATTTTCGTATAGTATTTATCGTTGTATTTGCGTTTTCATGGTCTTAGGTGATAAAATGGAAAACATATTACAGAAACAGAGATGATTTTCATTACTTTTACGATGAAAACGACCTTGAAACTGAGCTCAAAGTAGCGGAAATGTTCGATTTTTACCAATGTTCAAGAGTAAATAAATCACACCACACGTCCAATACACGTCAACTGGGGAGTCTAATATTCTTTCACTAGTGCACTGATATTATTTATACCATTTTTACAATAATGCAGTCGTCTGCATAACAGTAAATTTGTATTTTTTTGTATGAATAAAAAATCAAAATAGAAAGCAATAATAATATAAGAGGGCCTAGAGATGTGACTAATGAACAGAGCATATGTTATTTTAGTGCCACGAATGTCTACCTTGTTTATTCTGGACCCTATTTTGAAATTGGCATCTTTTTTATTTTGCGTGAAATTGGCCAAATTGCCAATTTCTGACCACCATATTGGGTAGTCCAAATTAGTAAATGGGAGGTTTCTTGTACTCAGCTGATAGATAAAATGGAGTTCTAAAGAAATAGCTATGAGTTTGGTCAACTGGAACAATGGAATTGGCTGAAAATAGGGCTCAAAGTCGGCAAAATCGCCGATACGCATATGTCGCCGAGACCGCTAACTTCGCGGGAGCATAATTCCACGAGTTTTCAACCAAATTTTGAACTTTTGGTGTCATTACCATCGGGAAAAGATTCTCTATCATTTCATAAGAAAAAATAATTTTTTTTTTCAAAAATTGAGCGACATAGAATGACAGTTTCAGAGAGGGGCCTGAAACAGTCAAAGGGTTAAAGGATACTGAAAAAAGAGAATACACTCCAGAAATGGAGCTATTCATTGAGCTCAATAGAAAATTCAACAACTCATTTACAAATGAGCAAGGGCCAGTACTAGACAAAATGGAGGAACAACAAAATAGAACAAATATTTCAAATGATTAAGGAAGTGAAAGGGCACCTGATACAGCTTGATAAATCAAAGGCATCAGGACCAGACAGAATATTGCCACAATTAGGAGAAAAAAAATACTGCTTAAGATTAACATGAACCTCATTCACTAAGGCCTGCAAGTAGCTGGTTTCCTAAACATGGATAATTGCACATTAATACTATCAATAACCAAACCTATGAGAATTACCAAGATGACTCCATCATCTTTTAACCACGTCATGACAACGCACAAACTCCTCTAAAAGCAAGCATTATCACCGACAATACAACTGATCATTACTCTGGCTCTTGCTACCAGCAACCTACTTAACCATTACAATCTGAGATCTGGCACTTCTTAGAGTAAATGGTAGTCTCCTCTTGAAAACTTCTACATCTAGTTGGGTGACTACTGTATAGGTAATTTTATTTGCTGGAAGGCGGCTGTAGTCAGACAGAAAATAAAAGGTACTTACCACAACCCAATTTCTTTTCACCAAATTCTTGAGGTTGATAGCTGCAGCAACTTTAATATTTTTTGGAACTTGAGTTTCATCACGTGTTAGCAATGTCAGCAATAGCACAGGATAATTCTCATGGCCCTCAACTTGGTTTAAGAACTGCTCCGCTGAAGAAAAAAAAACTCTTATTATAAACATAATAATTAACTAGTTTCATCTAGGCATTAAATTCTGAAAAGAACATGCCAAGGAACATGTTTAAAACTTGAATTCATGAAAATTATGTTGGATCTTATGACAACTGATTGGAAAGTGTCAAAATTAATTTGTGTGCAATAAATTACCAACCACATAAGTGCTAACAAATGCCCTCAGCACAATAAAATATCGATTTACCTGAACGACGTTGCGAAACATCAAGAGAGAATGTGTGAGTCAAGACCTCCACAAGCCTGCCTAAGTTTTCTTCTGTCACCTCCATATTTGATAGTGGCCCTGTTGGTATAAGAAAACTAATTACATAAAATGGGGAAATAATTTTCTTCCAATGCATAACACTTAAATAAATAGCAATAAAGACAATGTGGAGAACAAACCTTTATTGGGACTACATTTTTCTCAAGGTTGAGCTTTATCAAGTCATGCAGACGATACTTTTAACACACTTTACATACAGTATGTACTCAGAGATTGGGGTAAGAATAAACATTTGTATGTCAGGTGCTGATAAAGCAGGTAGTGGAGCACTGCCACTAGCCTACTGCTCTATTACTTTGCTTAAATTTGAACTGTTGGATTATGGGTCAGGTGTTTTTTTCCATACAAAATAATGCACTCCTGGGTTTTACCAGGCTGACACCTACTAAAATTCAGGCATTATTTATATATTTTATATTTCATTAAGATAATTATTATTATAATCACGGGGGAATGCTAAACCCATAAGATTATACAGCACATGTGGGGGGGGGGGGAGATGGAAGGTATTCAGGCTCAATTCAGGGAACTAGAGCACAGATCCAATTTCCTACATCAAGAGCCCCTCACCAGCATCAAGGAACCTCCCTTGAGGGGATTTCATTAAGAATGAACTCAATATGGTCCTCAAATCAGTTAATGATCAGCTGGGGTGTGGTGCACATGGACTGAATGCACAAGGACTGACGTCCTAGTCGATCAGGCCAGTAACCAGGTCTAGGACCAGGCAGTGGTGATTATGACCTCCAAAAGCAGCACAATGTAAATGTACAGTGGAACCTCAGTATACGACCAGCTTCCTACTTGAACAAAGCTCAACACTCGACCAAACAAATATGACCTGCCAAAACTTCTGTAAACTATTCGTGTTTCTTTGCATTTTTTTTGTATTATTTGTATAAATAAGTCAACATGGGGCCTACAACGATTATTGATAACAGCCAACCAAACAGAAAATTGGTTTACCTGGAGTTTACCTGGAGAGAGTTCCAGGTAAACTCCAGGTAAACCAATTTTCTGTTTGGTTGGCTGTTATCAATAATCGTTGTAGGCCCCATGTTGACTTATTTATACAAATACAAAAAAAATGGGAAGAACTTGTTCAATACTCAAATGGAACGGCACTCGAATTATTATTATTATTATAATCAAGGGGGAAGCGCTAAACCCGGAGGATTATACAGCGCCTGGGGGGGGGGATGTGGAAGGCATTCAGGCTTAATTCGGGGAACTGGAGCACAGATCCAATTCTCTAAATCAAGAGCCCCTCACCAACATCAAGGAACCTTCCTTGAGGGGAACGGCACTCGAAGCCTTCCGGAATGAATTAAGGTTGTATACCAAGGTTCCTCTATTATTTTGATGCTGTATAGCCCTTGTGGCTTAGCACTTTTTTGATTATAATAATAATAATGTATTATTTTGATTAATATAGTCAAAACGAAGCACTACACCCACATTATTATTATGGGGGAGCACTAAACTGATATGGATTATATAGCACCTGTGGGGGGTGGGTATGGAAGGCATTCAGGCTTATTTCAGGGAAGTGAAGCACAGATCCAATTCCCTAGATCAAGAGCCCCTCACCAGCATCAAGGAACCTTCCCTGAGGGGACTACACCCACAAGGGTCATACAGTGAAGGTAAATGTAGAAAGTATCTACATCATAGAATAAACAAATATTTCTTGGGCATTATTATTTTGGGACATATTAGTTTTCTTTTTTTTTTTGCACGAGTGACATGTTAAGAGTCAATTAATGATTAGTATTACAGTCTGGCCAATCATAGTAATCACTCAGTAGGCAAAGACTAAAAGCAAATTAAAGTTATTTTAGGTTGGGTTGGGCAGGTTTCATTAGTTTATCTCAATGTACAACAAACTCAATATTGCAAAATTCAAACTATAAACGAAAAAAAATATACCAAGGAGCAATCTTCGATTACCAAAAACTTTGTTTTATTAACGTGGAGGTTAGAACCCCAGGATAACCCAATAAGTCAGGATACCAAGAGGACAGTGCCTTATTTCTACTGGGGCTTTAATCTCCCCCAAGATGCAACCCACACCAGTCGGTTAACACCAATGTTCCTACATAATGCTAGGTGAACAGGGGCAGCAGATGTATGGTAATCATGCCAGTTTCCAATCATACCAGTGATCGAACCTCCGTCCCTAGTGTGTAAGATGAGACAACTACAAACTGAGGCACTGAACACCTGCTGATTTTGACTTACATAATAACCTGAATGTGTCACATTGTTTGACCTCTTTTGAGTTGTCGTAGGTTCAATTCTACATAACTTATTACATAAACCCATTATACAAATTTTAAATTATAATTTTTAACACATGCCTAAACTCTAAATAAACATTAAGACAAAGTCAATTGTAGAAATCAAACAATCACATCTACCAAAGCAAGAAAACTGCCAAGTAATAGTCAAAGTGAACACTGCACCCACTGGTCAACATGCACACACCAAATGTCACAGTGAGGTAGTTTAATAATAATAAAGAGAGAAAGTAAGGTGTGGTGACACAAGCGGCAGCAGCAGCAGCAGGTTGTTTACTGCGACACGAGCTGACTCAATCACCGGTTTGAACCCCGCTAAATTAAGTCTACAACTCTTCTCCTATTGGCCACTCACCCTGTCTTATTACACACTCTTACGTCTATCCTAACCCAATGCATTCCTCTTATTTAATGTCCTTGCCATTTTCCATTTCAAAATAGCCAATTGGGAGTGTTATGTATCTATTTCAAAGATAAAATACTTAAATAGTGATCAAAAAGGCCCTAAATGTGTCATAATAAGTTAACCAATCACAGAAAGTCTTTACTCTCTGAATATTCTACCGCCATCTTTTAAAATATTTTTATTAATTTACTTTAACTTAGTTATTTAACTAAATATGACCTAGATATATTACAGTGTGATTTAGTTGTGATTTATAAATATAAAAATTGATAAATGAGAGACTCTGAGTGAGATCAGAGACAACTTACCCAAATTATTATTATTATTATAATCAAGGGGGAAGCGCTAAACCCGGAGGATTATACAGCGCCTGGGGGGGGATGTGGAAGGCATTCAGGCTTTATTCGGGGAACTGGAGCACAGATCTAATTCCCTAAATCAAGAGCCCCTCACCAACATCAAGGAACCTTCCTTGAGGGGAACTTACCCAAAGTCCTTCATCAATTTCAACAGTACCTTTTATTCCTCCTATGTTTTGAAGTTTCTCAATTAGTCTTTCATGGGGAACTCTCCAAAGCTTTTTTAAAGTCTAAATAAATGCAATCTATCTCTGTAATGGAGTATGGCAGGAAAAACAACATCTATGGTGGATGTGGAAAAATTTGCATATAAATATAACCCAGATATTGCACGTTTTATTCATATACATATATAATATTTGAAGTATTTAATAAAGACTCTATATTAAAGCTTTGGTGGGTAATTACGTGCACTTAAGATAAGATAAGATTTTGTTCGGATTTTTAACCCCGGAGGGTTAGCCACCCAGGATAACCCAAGAAAGTCAGTGCGTCATCGAGGACTGTCTAACTTATTTCCATTGGGGTCCTTAATCTTGTCCCCCAGGATGTGACCCACACCAGTCGACTAACACCCAGGTACCTATTTGCTGCTAGGTGAACAGGACAACAGGTGTAAGGAAACGTGTCGAAATGTTTCCACCCGCCACGTTTCCTTACACCTGTTGTCCTGTTCACCTAGCAGCAAATAGGTACCTGGGTGTTAGTCGACTGGTGTGGGTCACATCCTGGGGGACAAGGTTGAGGACCCCAATGGAAATAAGTTAGACAGTCCTCGATGACGCACTGACTTTCTTGGGTTATCCTGGGTGGCTAACCCTCCGGGGTTAAAAATCCGAACAAAATCTTATCTTATCTTAAGTGCACGTAATTACCCACCAAAGCTTTAATATAGAGTCTTTATTAAATACTTCAAATATTATATATGTATATGAATAAAACGTGCAATATCTGGGTTATATTTATTAAAAATATATATAAATAAACATAATGCAGGACTAAGGGGGTACGGCTGAAAATTTGAATGTAAATACCAACACTTCCTAAGATAAGATTTCGTTCGGATTTTTAACCCTGGAGGGTTAGCCACCTAGGATAACACAAGAAAGTCAGTGCGTCATCGAGGACTGTCTGTCTTATTTCCATTGTGGTCCTTAATCTTGTCCCCAGGATGCCACCCACACCAGTCGACTAACACCCAGGTACCTACTTGCTGCTAGGTGAACAGGACAACAAGTGTAAGGAAACACGTCGCAATGTTTCTACCTCGCCGGGAATCGAACCTGGACCCTCCGTGTGTACCAGCACCAGGGCTGTAACCTGCACTCGGAGGACCCAGGGCTGTAACCTACACTCGGAGGACCCTGGGCTGTAACCTGCACTCGGAGGACCCTGGGCTGTAACCTGCCCTCGGAGGACCCTGGGCTGTAACCTGCACTCAGAGGACCCTGGGCTGTAACCTGCCCTCAGAGGACCCTGGGCTGTAACCTGCTCTCGGAGGACCCAGGGCTGTAACCTGCACTCGGAGGACCCTGGGCTGTAACCTGCACTCGGAGGACCCAGGGCTGTAACCTGCACTTGGAGGAACCAGGGCTGTAACCTGCACTCGGAGGACCCAGGGCTGTAACCTGCACTCAGAGGACCCTGGGCTGTAACCTGCACTCGGAGGACCCTGGGCTGTAACCTGCCCTCGGAGGACCCTGGGCTGTAACCTGCACTCGGAGGACCCTGGGCTGTAACCTGCACTCGGAGGACCCAGGGCTGTAACCTGCACTTGGAGGAACCAGGGCTGTAACCTGCACTCGGAGGACCCAGGGCTGTAACCTGCACTCGGAGGACCCTGGGCTGTAACCTGCACTCGGAGGACCCAGGGCTGTAACCTGCACTCGGAGGACCCTGGGCTGTAACCTGCACTTGGAGGACCCTGGGCTGTAACCTGCCCTTGGAGGACCCTGGGCTGTAACCTGCACTCGGAGGACCCAGGGCTGTAACCTGCACTCGGAGGACCCTGGGCTGTAACCTGCACTCGGAGGACCCAGGGCTGTAACCTGCACTCAGAGGACCCTGGGCTGTAACCTGCACTTGGAGGACCCAGGGCTGTAACCTGTACTTGAAGGAACCAGGGCTGTAACCTGCACTCGGAGGACCCAGGGCTGTAACCTGCACTCGGAGGACCCTGGGCTGTAACCTGCACTCGGAGGGCCCTGGGCTGTAACCTGCACTCGGAGGACCCAGGGCTGTAACCTGCACTCGGAGGACGCTGGGCTGTAACCTGCACTTGGAGGACCCAGGGCTGTAACCTGCACTCGGAGGACCCTGGGCTGTAACCTGCACTCGGAGGACCCTGGGCTGTAACCTGCACTCGGAGGACCCAGGGCTGTAACCTGCACTCGGAGGACCCAGGGCTGTAACCTGCACTCAGAGGACCCTGGGCTGTAACCTGCACTCGCAGGACCCAGGGCTGTAACCTGCACTCGGAGGACCCTGGGCTGTAACCTGCACTCGGAGGACCCTGGGCTGTAACCTGCACTCGGAGGACCCTGGGCTGTAACCTGCACTCGGAGGACCCTGGGCTGTAACCTGCACTCGGAGGACCCTGGGCTGTAACCTGCCCTCGGAGGACCCTGGGCTGTAACCTGCACTCGGAGGACCCTGGGCTGTAACCTGCACTCGGAGGACCCTGGGCTGTAACCTGCACTCGGAGGACCCTGGGCTGTAACCTGCACTCGGAGGACCCTGGGCTGTAACCTGCCCTCGGAGGACCCTGGGCTGTAACCTGCACTCGGAGGACCCTGGGCTGTAACCTGCACTCGGAGGACCCAGGGCTGTAACCTGCACTTGGAGGACCCAGGGCTGTAACCTGCACTCGGAGGACCCAGGGCTGTAACCTGCACTCGGAGGACCCTGGGCTGTAACCTGCACTTGGAGGACCCAGGGCTGTAACCTGCACTCGGAGAACCCAGGGCTGTAACCTGCCCTCGGACGACCCTGGGCTGTAACCTGCACTCGGAGGACCCTGGGCTGTAACCTGCCCTCGGAGGACCCTGGGCTGTAACCTGCACTCAGAGGACCCTGGGCTGTAACCTGCACTCGGAGGACCCTGGGCTGTAACCTGCCCTCGGAGGACCCTGGGCTGTAACCTGCACTCGGAGGACCCTGGGCTGTAACCTGCACTCGGAGGACCCAGGGCTGTAACCTGCACTCGGAGGACCCTGGGCTGTAACCTGCACTCGGAGGTCCCAGGGCTGTAACCCGCACTCGGAGGACCCTGGGCTGTAACCTGCACTCGGAGGACCCAGGGCTGTAACCTGCACTCGGAGGACCCTGGGCTGTAACCTGCACTCGGAGGACCCTGGGCTGTAACCTGCCCTCGGAGGACCCTGGGCTGTAACCTGCACTCGGAGGACCCAGGGCTGTAACCTGCACTCGGAGGACCCTGGGCTGTAACCTGCACTCGGAGGACCCAGGGCTGTAACCTGCACTCAGAGGACCCTGGGCTGTAACCTGCACTTGGAGGACCCAGGGCTGTAACCTGTACTTGAAGGAACCAGGGCTGTAACCTGCACTCGGAGGACCCAGGGCTGTAACCTGCACTCGGAGGACCCAGGGCTGTAACCTGCACTCGGAGGACGCTGGGCTGTAACCTGCACTTGGAGGACCCAGGGCTGTAACCTGCACTCGGAGGACCCTGGGCTGTAACCTGCACTCGGAGGACCCTGGGCTGTAACCTGCACTCGGAGGACCCAGGGCTGTAACCTGCACTCGGAGGACCCAGGGCTGTAACCTGCACTCGGAGGACCCTGGGCTGTAACCTGCACTCGGAGGACCCTGGGCTGTAACCTGCACTCGGAGGACCCAGGGCTGTAACCTGCCCTCGGAGGACCCTGGGCTGTAACCTGCACTCGGAGGACCCTGGGCTGTAACCTGCACTTGGAGGACCCAGGGCTGTAACCTGCACTCGGAGGACCCAGGGCTGTAACCTGCACTCGGAGGACCCAGGGCTGTAACCTGCACTCGGAGGACCCTGGGCTGTAACCTGCACTTGGAGGACCCAGGGCTGTAACCTGCACTCGGAGAACCCAGGGCTGTAACCTGCCCTCGGACGACCCTGGGCTGTAACCTGCTACTCCGGACTGCGGTAGGGACCCTGGGCTGTAACCTGCCCTCGGAGGACCCTGGGCTGTAACCTGCCACTCAGAGGACCCTGGGCTGTACCTGCACTAGGACCGCTGTACGCACTCGGAGGACCCTGGGCTGTAACCTGCCCTCGGAGGACCCTGGGCTGTAACCTGCACTCGGAGGACCCTGGGCTGTAACCTGCACTC